TTGGTTGATGGTTGATGTGGGAAGGCCCAGCCCACTGGGAATAGTGTCACCCTGGATTGGTGGTCCTGGGCTAATTAGGATTTCTATTGCTGTGAAAAGACACCATGACCACGGCAACTCTTATAAAGGAAAACATTTATTTAATTGGGGTGGCTGACAGTTTCAGAGGGTTAGTCCATTATCATCATGGTGAGACATGGTGGCATGCAGGCAGACACGGTGCTGAAGAAGAAGCAGAGAGTCCTATATCTTGATCCGAAGGCAACAGTAGCAACTTGGTCACTGGGCATGACTTGAGCATATATGAGACCTCAAAGCCCGCCTCCACAGTGACACACTTCCTCCAACAAGACCACACCTACTCCAACAAGGCCACAACTTCCAATAGTGTCATTTCCTATGGCTGAGCATTCAAATACATGAGATACATGAGGTTTGTTTGTTTTTGTTTTTTTAAGACAGGGTTTCTCTGTATAGCTTGGAGCCTGTCCTGGAACTCACTTTGCAGACCAGGCTCGCCTCGAACTCACAGAGATTTGCCTGGCTCTCCCTCCTGAGTGCTGGGATTAAAGGCATGCAGCACCACTGCCCGGCTTCAAATACATGGGTTTATGGGGGCTATATCTATTCAAACCTCCACAGTAGCTGAGCAGGCCATGGTAAGCAGGTCAGTAAGCAACATTTGTCCATGTTCTCTACGTCAGTTTCTGCCTTGAGGTTTCTGTCTTGAGTTCCTTCCCTGAATTCCCTTCAGGATGGACTGTGATTGGGATATGTAAACGAAATAAGTCATTTTCTCCCCAAGTTGCTTTTGGTCACGATGTTTCATCACAGCAATAGAAAGCAACTAGAACAACATATTTCTGCCATTTGTGCTACATATTTATGCAGAAAGGAGTTCATAGCACTGGTGATTATAAAATCAAAATATCCATCAACCAAAAATGGTGAAGATGCTCTGTCCTGTAGTATCACATCTTCAGATTTAATTTAATCCCAATACTTAGGAGGCAGAGGCAGGTGGATCTCTATGAGTTTGAGGCCAGCCTGGTTTACAGAGCAACTTCCAAGACATCCAGAGATATACAGAGAAACCATGTCTCAAAAAACTAAAAAACAAAACAAAACAAAACAAAGAACAAAGAAAAAAATTAATTCTTTGGGTAAAAATAAAAACAGCACCTATCTAATTAGTAGTATGCAAACTAGGTTTGTGGGTTTTTGTTTTTTCTTTTCTGTTTTGAGTTTTTTTTTTTCAGACAGGTTCTCTCTAAAGACCCCTGACTGTCCTGGAACTGTGTAGACCAGGCCTAGAATTCATAGAGATTCTCCTATCTCTGCCTCTCAAGTGCTGGGATTAAAGTCATGCACCATCAAGTCTGGCCTAGAAACTGGTTTTTGTTCTTAATAGATGGTAAAATTATATATATATATATATATAATTTTATTTTTATAATAAAAAAATTTTTAAATAAATTTTTGTATGACTTATTATCAGCAAATGTTGACTTGTATACCTATTTTCATTTTAGTTTTTCATTATTGGAGGTTGAATCTTGGCCCTCACACATGTTAGGGAAATGATTTACCCTTGAGGCCTCTTACTACTTTGTTATTTTGAGACAAAGTCCAGGCTGGCCTTGAACTAGCTCTGTAGCCTAGACAGGCCTTGAACTTTCAATTCTCCTGACTTCCACAGAGCTGGAATTACAGGTTTCACCACCAGACATGGCTGTATACCTAGATACCCATGGTCATATAAAAATCCCTCCAGTGATGGGTGGTGGTGGCATATACCTTTAATTCCAGCACTTGGGAGCTCTGTGAGTTTGAGGCCAGCCTGGTCTACAGAGTGAGTTCCAGGGTGCCCAGGACTACACTGAAAAATAAAACAAAACAAAATCCCTCCAGTAAAAAGGGGTCACGAGTGGAAAAAGTTTAAGAAGCCCTGTTCTAGAGCTGTACTGAAGAACCAAGACTTGAGAGAGCCAAAGGCTGCATTGGGTAGCTTTGTAAAACACTAAATATAATACCAAGTCCTTACAGTGCTCTGTTATTTGAATATAGTTTCATGGTCTTTGTCCAAGCTCCAATTCATGGCCTGGAGCTGCCCCGGAAGCTGTACATTTGAGTCCTGGAAGACCACAAAGAGTGCACCCTGGGTGGCAGTCAGAGGACATATGGAAGGCTGTATGGAGGGTGCTGTTCAGGCTAAATCTTAAAATAAGGCCTCTGATCAATCTCTCTCTCTCTCTCTCTCTCTCTCTCTCTCTCTCTCTCTCTCTCTCTCTCTCTCTCTCTGTCTTGGTTTTCCCTCCTGCAGTCTTGTCTGCTAAATTGGTGAATGACTTTCCTTCCTTCCTTCCTTCCTTCCTTCCTTCCTTCCTTCCTTCCTTCCTTCCTTTCTTTCTTTCTTTCTTTCTTTCTTTCTTTCGACAGGGTCTCACTATGTAGCTCAGACTGTCTGGAACTTGCTATTTAGACCAGGCTGGCCTCAAACTCACAGAAATCCACCTGCTTCTGCCTCCCAAGTGCTAAGATTAAAGGTGTGTGCCCCCACTTCTGAAGAAACTCTTGCCTTTCTCTTTCTGTGCCCTAGCTGGCTTGGAACTTACTATGAGGCCCAGGCTGCCCGTGAACTCAGGAACCTCGGGCCTCAGCCTATGTGCTGAGAGTACTACCACACCTGGCTTTGCTTACTTTGTTCTTTTTGGAAAAAAAAATTGTGTGTGTGTGTGTGTGTGTGTGTGTGTGTGTGCGCGTGTGCGTGTGTGTGTGTGTGTTCTCTCCTTCAGTCATGCAAATCTTGGTGAACTGAACTCAAGTTGCCAGGTTTGGTGGTAGCAAGTGCCACAAGATACCCCAAACCCACTGAGCTCTCCCCCTGGTGCTACTTTATCCTTATAGCCAAGAAAATTTTCTCTGCTTTGTTTTCAGGACAGGCCAGAGACAGGAAAGGCCATCTGTTCTGGATAGTTTTATTGCAACTTGTCACAAGCCAGATTGGCCTGTCGTATATTTTCTTGATTGATGATTGGTAGAGGAGTGCCCAGCTCACCGTGAGTGGTGCCACCTCTGGGCTAGTGATCCTGGGAGCTGTTAGAAAGCAGGTTGAGCTTGGTGGTGGTGGCAATGGCACACACCTTTAATCCCAGCACTTGGGAGGCAGAAGCAGGCAGATCTCTGTGAGTTTGAGGCCAGCCTGGTCTACAGAGCCAGATCCAGGATTGTTAGGATTGTAGTCAGAATTGTTACACAGAGAAACTGTGTCGGAAAAAAGGAAAGAAAGAAAGCAGGCTGAGCTCAAGTGACAAAGAAATCCCAGTAAGCAGTGTTCCTCAGTGACCTCTCTTCAGCTGTCTCCAGGTTCTTTCCTTGAGTTCCTGCCCTGACTTCCTTCAACGATAAACTATGGTGTATAAGTACAAGTAAAATCAACTCTTTCCTCCCCGAGTTGCGCTTTGGTCATGGTGTTTTGAAACCCAAAAGAAGACACCATCTAATGGCCTTGTATTTGTCTTACTTAATTTTTATGTTTATTTGTATATATTTATTTGTTCATTGTCCATCCCTCCCCGTTCCCTCTCCAACAGAAAATCACCTTGAGGATACAGGTTTTGTATGTCTTACTATTTTAATCATCAGCAACAGACAGTGCCTCGTACTGAATTATGAACACATGTTGACCACTGGGCTAACCTAGGTTAATGTTTATGTAACAACAGAAGGAAGAAGCCCCGGTTTCAGTTCCAAGAATTGGGGGATAGGCAAGCATGCCTCCACTTTCCTGACTGGGATGAGTGATATCTGTCTCTGCTTCTGTTTGTTCCCTCATTTGTCACAAACATTTTATTACATAGCTGCTCTGTGCCTGACACCATGCTGGGTATATCTGATGCAGTATGAACAATGTGGAAATAATACCTATCTTAAATGAGTTTAAATTCCCGGGAGACAGATGGCAAGGAGACGACAATTGTAAAGCACTGTGATCAGTTCTGTAGGTTCACAAGAGAACCACCTAACCCATTATGTGAATGAGATTAAAGAAGGCATTCCTTGATACGGGGATTACAGGCATTTCCAGCTCAGGCAGGGACCATTATGTTAAGATCTCAGAGGTGGCGGGGTCCAGGACTGATACCAACGGTCTTAAGAGGAAATAGCAGGTGGCAGACTGAGGAGCTTGGTAACTCAAGATGGCTCACAAGATGGATCTGACTGGCTGAGAGGATGTCAAAATCATCAGTGGCTTGGTTAAGACCGAAGAAGCTGCTTTCCATTTCATAACGTGGTATAATGACTTCCCAGAGAAGCGTAGCTAAGATGGAGACACTCACCCATCGCTTTAGGCGTCAATTCATCCCAGCTGCCTGGAGAGACCAGGGAAGTCCCTCTACAGCTGTGATCAGAATCCTTTTAACCCTGACATTTCCTCTGAGGGGGCCTGAACAAGCCAGTAGCTTCGTCCTTAGAGAGGCCCTTCAGAAATCTAAGCACTTTTTTTTTTCTTAGCCGAATTCGCCTCTCTTCTTTCCAGATCTCCCTCAGGCCCGTATCAGAAAGTAATGATTACTTGTTGACGAATGAATCACAGAAGGTGTCGCCTGAAGAGAACATCCCCTAAGCCCATACTCGTGGGGGAAAGAAGTAGAGAATCTGAGTTATTCTAAGCCTGACGAAGTTTTCGGTTTATTTTATTATTAGTATCATTTATTTATTTTTAAGAAAATCCCTTTCACTGTTCAGAAGTGACCCTCCCCTTCTCTTCTGAATACGTGTCTCCTCCAAACTACAAGTCCCACAAGGCCCAGCGCCAACGGTCACCATCTTGACACACCTTAGCGCGCATGTCGGCGGGAGAGAGAGCGTTTGGGGAGAAGAAGCCCCGCCTCATTGTAGTTCATTGGCTAAAGGCGCCAGCGGCGGGCTCAGCGGTTGGCTACTGCGCCCGCCCGTCCACCGCGTCGGTCGGGGTCAGAGTGCGCGGAGGTGAGTCGGTGTGTTGTGGACTCGTGGTGCTGGCTGCCGCTGTTGAGGCGGCCTGGAACGGGCTGTGGGGAGCGGGCGGAGCTGGCCCTGCTTCTGCCTGGTCAGCGCCGCAGGCGGCGCGGGCCGTGCCCGCTGCCGTCAACTGCCCCAAGCGCCTGCTGAGGCCGAGGGAGACGTCGGGGCCTGCACCTGGAGAGAGCCTGCCGCGCTGGCCCGGAGGAGGGGGCGTTGCCATGGCGACAGCCTCTCCGGCAGCTGACGGGGGGCGGGGGCGGCCCTGGGAAGGAGGGCTAGTCTCCTGGCCCCCTGCCCCTCCCCTTACGCTCCCTTGGACCTGGATGGGCCCGAGCTGGGGGCAACACCCTGGGGTGGGTGAGATTGAGAGGGCCCCCCGCTTGGGCCCTGGTTAATGCATGCGGGGTGTGGGTCGTGGCGCGCACACTTAATGCAGCCTGGGATACTGGCCCGTGTGCTCACCCTGGATGCATGTTCTAACTCTTGGCGAAGGGGGAGCTGGGGGTGGGGGTGGGGGTGGAGCTGGGCTTTGCAAGATAGATTGGATGAGTTGATGAAAGGCCCTGATTTGAGATTACTGAAGAAGAGAGAGATATGACCAGAGAAAATAGAAACAGATTAAGGAATTAGTAGATTATATAGAGTACCCCCTCTGCATCCCGGCACACGCACACAGCACACACGTTAGCACTTTACTTCCTTGTGAGTTACAAGCCGTGGGTAATAATGATGGTGGACAGAGTGAAGAAAGGGCCTTAACCCAGGTAGCTTTTTATATGCCTTTATTGCAAATGGCCCAACAACAGGTGTTTTCTTTAAACAAAGAAACCATGACTTGGATTGAGTTCTTGCAAAATGTCAGCTGCTGGATGTTGACTTGGAAGATGCTGGGTATGGGGCCCCTCATCTGGAGATGAGGATTTTGCAATGACTAGGGCCAACAATTGTCTTTGGCCATTTTTATGGCATGCATTTGCTAGTGCTTTTCATTGGTTTCCCAGTGTAAGGGCAGCAAAACATGAATCCCTTTGACTAAAGACCATACTCTAATTGACTATAGTAGGTTGTGATTGGCTGAATGATTTTTGTCTGTAGAGTTTGTACCAGAAACTGGCTTCATCAAATTCAGTTTTATTGTGACTTTATCATGCACCGTAGACCTTGTTTTAGTGGGTTCGTTCTTGGACCTTAAGTATATTATACTTGAATCCCCTACCATTTAAAGGCCAATTTATAAACAGTGACTTGGAGTGTGACTCCACTAATGTGTGCCTGTGATCTTGGTTAGAAACCCACTTGGCTGACTGTCTGCAGGTGCTGAGTGGGGGAAGGGAGCTGCCGGGAAGTGATTGATAAGGTTTCCTTTATGGATTCTGTGGTGCTTCACTGGAGCTCAGAGCACTTTGGCAACTTAAGCACTCCAAATTAAAAGCTCATTAACAATTCCTGCCCAAAGATCCTGTAAATAATCAGCTAGCTAGGTCTTGGAGCTTGGCTAAGAGCTCTCCCTCCTACTTGAAATTTCCAAATAGAAGTGCTTTCATTCCATTTCATTTTGGAAAGTTTACTCTATGGTGGGATAAGTTGGGAATCAGGATAGAATAAAGTCTTATGTGTGGAATGGCAGACAGGAATATATTGGTTCCAGGTGTAGATGTTTGTGCACAGGGATTCACTATCCTAAAAGATCATGTCTGTGATTTCTGCTCCTTTAGAATATCTGAAGTAGGTGATAAATATGATAGATATTCCTTGATGCTTTTTTTTTTTTTTTTTTTTTTTTTTTCCCCCCCGAGACAGGGTTTCTCTGTGTAGCTTTGCACCTTTCCTGGAACTCACAGAGATCCGCCTGGCTCTGCCTCCCAAGTGCTGGGATTAAAGGTGTGCGCCACCACCGCCCAGCACAGGGTTTTATGACTTTTGTAACAATTTTTTTTTTTTCCGGAGCTGAGGACCGAACCCAGGGCCTTGTGCTTGCTAGGCAAGCGCTCTACCACTGAGCTAAATCCCTAACCCCTCCTTGATGCTTTTAAAATATTGTTATTTTTTAGATGGTCTTGATGTGTAGCCCTGACTGGCCTTTCTTGCATGTGCCATCCATGCTTGACTCCCTTGATGTGTTGATTTGGGATTTGGCTAGCTTGACTTTCCTAGAATTTGAGGCAGACTTGGAAGTATTTTGAAAGTGTTTCCTGATCTGTGTTTCCATTCCAGTTACCACCTATAAGTTTGTGGCAATGAACCCTTCTCTTCAGTCCTGTCTCATCCCCAGTTCTTGAATTCTGAATATTGCTAGCCTTGTGTCCTTGTCTGATAGGATTCTGAAGTTATCCAGTGAGCCACCACTTCATGACCATCTTTCTTAGTTGAGGCTCAGATATTATGAGTATTTGGTATTTCTAGAAGATAAACTTCCTTAGGGAGAACAATATATCAGAGAACATGAAATCCTTAATTCATATATATACAACACACCCATATATATATGTATGTATGTATCAGTCAATGGCATCTGAATGGTCTTTAGGGCCATTGTCTTCTACAGAGATAGCCATATCCCAAAATTTGAATTTATGAGTTTGAGCTAAGAGTGACCCTTAATGAGGATTTAAACCTTTGAATTGAAATATACCTGTTGCAGAGATGTGTGTTTGTCCACAGCATTGGGGCTTTCCAGCTCTCACAGACCCTTCAGCGACTCCAGCTGCCAGTCTTGGCATCTTCGAAGTAAGGAGAGGTGAGAATCCTGTTGCATGATCTCGTTTGGTGTCTGACGGTTTGGGTTTGGTGGGTATGTGATGGGGGCTGGTGCAGATTGCATTTTTCTATAGCTTTTTCCAGTTCTGTCATGATTTGCTTTTTTTTAATCTCCTCAGTACTGGGGAATGAACCCAGGACTTTGCAACATGCTAGGCAAGCATGCCGCCATTGAACAAAATTCCTAGTCTTTCCTCTCTCTCCCTCTCTCTCCCCCACTCTTTCTTCTCTTTTTAAACTTATATTTGATCTTTACTAATTGACCAGACTGGCCTCAGACTTGTAATGCTCCTGCTTCAGACTCTACCTAGTAGCTGGGATTATAAGCATGGACTACCATGCCCAACCATGATTTCTTTAATAGACACCTCATGAGTACCTTGCCTTTAGGGTAATTGAGTAGAGCTAGAATAGCCCTATATTCTGAGAAATACTCATCTTAATTCAACAGTAAGACCACCTCACATATGGCTTTTGTGATTTATTTTGGTTTGATATATTTGTGTCACCTTTGAGTGAATGGTTGGCTAGTCCCCACCTACTTCTACCTGGACTGACTAAAAAAGCGAACTTTTGATGATTGCTACCCAGGGATTTGGGAGTCATTTGTTCAATAACTAAGGCCCAAACATTTTGCTAGTTGCTGGGATACAGTAGTCAACAAGACTGTCCGTGATATCCAAAAGCTTTCAGTTCCAAAAGTTTCTTTCATCGGAGAGACCACTAGGAATGCAGCAGTTATGATATACCCAATAACTAAAGTAAGGGACCTAAGTTCTCTGGGATTACAGGAGTGACCTTACCCTGGATTTGTAGACTCTGGGGTGGCTTCCCAGAGGAATCAACCTCCTTTCCTAGAATTAAAGAAACACACGAGGGACCGAGTATCAGAGCTTTGTTGAGTTTGAGGAAGTTCAGTGTAATTAAAAGGCCGGTGGGAAATGAAGCAGAAAAGGTGAGCAGAGGCTAGGGCCTTACAAACTCTAGTTAGATGGTGTGAGGGTGAGCAGAAGCGGGGCATAAAAAAGACTAAAGGTTAGCAAGCTTTTCTAGAAAGGTCAGGAGTAGATACTTAGGCTTTGTGACTCTTTTACAACTGTACAGCTTGTAGTGAGCATTTCAGCAGCTATGGAAATGGTGTGAAAGTGAACATGACTGTGTTCTAGTAAAAATTTATTTATAAAGGTGGCAGCTGGATTTGCCCCATGGACCATAGTTTGCCGATCTCTAGATCAGAACATTAAGAAGCCACTGAAAGATTGTAAGAAGCTCAGGGTGGTGGTATACTCCTGTAATCAGGAGGCTCAGTCAGGAGGATCACTGATTCAAGGCTAGCCTGTAATCCATATCAAAACAGAAAGAAAAAGGAAAAATATGAAGATTATAATTGTGAGGTTTATGTTGTAGAAAGCTTGTTTTGATATTAGTGTGAAGAATGGATTGAAGGGGCAGATAAAACTGGAAGCAAAGAGAATAGTAAAGAGTCTGGGGTAGCAGTTTAATATTCCCCTTATGTGGCAGTTTTGTGGTCCTTAAGGATCAAACTAAATATAATTGAAGTGTGTGTGTGTGTGTGTGTGTGTGTGTGTGTTAGTATTAATTCTCTTTACTGATTTTATGTCTGTCTAATGGCACTTAAAAGGTGTCTATCAGACAATTTCTTGGAAATGCCAGCCAGCTAGTGTTTCACAGATTGGGAAAGATAAAGGAAGAGAGTCAGCATACAGTGAATTAAAATGTTTTGAAACCTATATTCTGTTGAAGGAAGTATTTCTTCATTTTAGAGTTCCCAGCTTAATAGCTCGGAACTGTTTAAGTTATATATATAGAAACTGACCTGCGTTCCTAAACTTTCTAGGCAGTTGTCCTTATTCTGTATGTCCTACTTGGTCTCTTCTTTCCTTGCCTGTAGTAGACTGATAACCCATGCCTGATTTTGGAAATGTCTGTCAGATCAGGTGTGATGGTGTGTCTCAGGCAGGTGGCCAATAAATTTGTTTGAGTGTGAGAAGTTGACAGCCAGAATTCCACTCTGTTCCTTCCCTTTCTTCCTCTTCCTCTGTGAGCCCCAGTGTACTTGCAGTGATGGAGGGAAGCACAAATTTCTGAGAGTTGTGTTTCTGGGACCTTGGACAAGTTGACTTACCTCTTTTGAGTTTCATTTTGCTGTTTAAAATGGAGATTGTGGGATTTAATAGCATTGTTGAAAGGCTTTGATAATGTAGAGGAAGCTCTTAGTAGTGTATTGATACTGGTTTGTTTGTTTTAATTTTTAGATAGGCTCCCACTGTAGCTGCTCTGAAACTCTGTACGTAGACCAGGCTAGCCTTGATCTCATAGAGATCTGTTTGCCTTTGCCTCCCAAGTGCCAGGACTAAAGGTGGGAGCCACTACTAATGTTCTGCACAAAGTCAGGAGATAGTTGGGTGATGGGAGTTGTGGCTTCTTTTTTTTTTTTTTTTTTTTTTTTTTTTTTTTTTTTAAAGATTTATTTATTTATTATGTATGCAGTGAGTGTTCAGCCTGCAGGCCAGAAGAGGGCACCAGATCTCATTCTAGATGGTTGTGAGCCACCATGTGGTTGCTGGGAATTGAACTCAGGACCTCTGGAAGAACAGTCAGTGCTCTTAACCTCTGAGCCATCTCTCCAGCCCCGGGAGTTGTGGCTTCTTAAGCTTTGAGTCCACACAATTTTCATTGTGTCCATGTGGTAAAAGCTTAGTTAGCCTACAGGAGTCAGTTATAACTAAAGCAAGGCATGATTTTACACCCTGGAAAATTTGCACATAGTAGGAGTTCCATAGTCCAAACCATCAGTAGAGTGAATGGATTAAGCAGCTTCCCAAGACTTACCCATGTTACTAGCCTTCCTCCCTGTTTGGGGTCATTTATTAGTGTTGTCACATTACTAGCCCTGCATCTTTGTAAAGTGCCTCTTGAATGTTTTTGTTACTTTCCCTTCCCACTCAGGGAAATGAGTCATGAGTGGTATGTTTTGGTTTTCTTGCTACCATGTGAGGAAACCCAGGCAAAAGAAGGTTGAATTGAGTTGCCTAAGATCACAGTGTAAGGTACTGTTAAAGCTAGTGCAGACTTGCCTCCAGATGAAATTGTGCTAGTTGACTGTTTTGATTTCTCTTCCCTTGAGTGAGAGATGCATAGTTGTTGTACAGTTGATGATGCCCCATCCATTCTGCTGGACTTTGTTTGAATCCTGCTTTATTTATTTGGTTCTGTTGGGTTTTAATTGATGATTTTGAGGACTAGATCTGTTGGGAAGCAGATTCCCTTTGGGTTGTTGTTTTTAGCTTCTTCCTCCTTTGGGGGACATTCCTTGGGGAACCTTGGGTTAGGAGGGATTGCTTTGATATGTTCAAAATTGTGCCTTGTGCCCCACAGCTACAGGTAAAATCAAAAGGCAGATAATTTATGGGAGTGTCAGAGCTGGCCGCTGGCACCTCAGAAGGCCATTAGTATGCCTGTTCAGACCCTCTGTGTCCTTGCGATTGATTCCTTTTTGCATGAGTCTGATTTGGGAAGCTGTAGATCTGTGTGCAGTGATTGGATGTGACAGTCCAAACACCGGACCCTAAATTAATCCTTTTAATAGTATTCCTACACCAAGGCAATATTCATTCACTCATTCTCTCTCTCTCTCTCTCTCTCTCTCCCTCTCTCTCCTTCTCTCTTTCTCTCTCTCTTTGAGAAATGGCAGAAAGGGAAAGAAGGGATGGAAGGAAGCTGACTAGCTTTGTTTGTTGTGCTTTGGCTGTGCTCTGTCTAGCATGTTCTACTTCTAGAGTAGTTGGCATTGTGGCTTTGGCATATTAATTCATTTAGCAAGTCTTTACTTTCTTAATTGTGCCTGATTATGTGCTGGGAGTAAAGAAATGAATAAAATGTAGTTGCTGTTTTTAAGAAACTCTGTTTCCAGATTTCTAAAACTCATGTACCATTTAGATTAAAACTCGGTGCTCCTCTTTCAAGCTGTGTGAAAATTTGAAATGCATGAAAATGCCTAACAAGAAAATAGTTACAAAATATGCTTTTTATGCACACACAATGCTTGTTTTTACATACACATGTATGCAGAGCTCTGCTGCTGCCCTCCATCCTTCCTCATGGAGTCTTTGAAAACTGTTAGTAGCAGAAGAGACAGGTACTTAGTGTGTCACCATAGAATGAGAAGACACTGTACTACTGGGTCACATTGAAGCCATTAACTTTATCATGAAGTATCAGAGAAATCTACAAAAAGGGTGGGATTTATCTGGTCAAAGAAAGTGTTAATTTGCTGGTGAAAAATAGCAGTGCTTTCCAAAGCAGAGGGAGCAGCATTTGTCAAGGCCCAGATTTGTAGAAGGAAATGCCACATTTGGGGACTTGAGCAAGAGCTAACTGGGCCTGTGCCTCTGCCTCCTTCGAGTTTCTCACTCTGTAAGATGAGAAGAACCACACCTCTGGAATTGTGTGTGTGTATGGAAGAGGCTTGGAGATCCTTGTACTGCACTGCAGTTATTTTAATCCAAGATACCCCTAACTATTGCTGCTGCGGTGTGCTCAAGCTAAAGTGTATTTTATTTGTTGCTTGTTTAGTTTTTTGAGACAGAGTTTCTCCATGTAACTCTGGCTGTCCTGGAGCTCACTCTGTAGACCAGGCTGGCCTTTAGAGATCTACCTGCCTCTGCCTCCTAAGGGCTGGGATTAAAGGTGTGCACCGCCACCACCCGACTAAAGTGTATTTTTTAAAAATAAAATAGACACCTCTCTTTCTCTCTCCCTCTCTCTATACACACACACACACACACACACACACACACACACACACACACACACACACACACACGTTGTAGATATGCCCTCTGCAAGGGTGGGGCATACTTAGAGGATGGCCATACTGTGACTTCCTCATCTCTGGCTTTATCTTTGTTGTTTTAGGAAAGAAAGTTTGTCATTGAGAGGCATCTGATTTGTAGGACT